CACACACACACACACACACACACACACACACACACACACCTCTCAAAACTCAACGGTAAGAAAATGTAAAATTGGGCTGGGGGCTCAGTGGTGGAGCGTTCACACCCAGCCAGCACAAGGCCCGGGGTTTGGTCCTTAGTGCCACTCAATGAATAAAGTTTTCTAAAAAGAAAAAAGAAAAATGCACTTAACAGACACCTGCCCAGAGAAGATACATGTAGGGCAAATAAGTATGTGAAGAGGTGTTCTTCACCCCGTCTCCAGGAACGTGCAGACGAAGGCAACCCTGAGATGGTTTACACAGGCAGTGGCCAGACACCGTCCCATGCATACACCCATTAGGATGACACCAAACGCTGGCCACCATGTGAAGCCACAGAGTTCTCATCCCCGCTGGTGGGCGGGCAGAAGGGTTCAGCCACTCTGGTGGACAGTGTGGCGCTTCCCACCACCGCCCACACCCTGCCCGTCACCAGAGCTGCTGTCCCTGGCGCTGACCTAAAGGTGTTGGAAGCGGGTCCACACAGGACCCCGGGGCTTGGGGGTTTCCCCCGGTTTTTTGCTTACTTTTCCCCCCGGGGGGTCCCCCGGCCGTCCTCCACGGGGGAACGGATGAAGAGACTGTCCCTCCCCCAGACAAGAGGACATCCCTCAGCACCAAAAAGAAACGCCCTCCCAGGCCACCAAGAGACGCGGAGGAGGCCACACGTCACCACGCGGAGGAGCCCAGCTGGGCAGACCACCTTCTGCATGACCCTCTAGAAAAGGCAGAACCACGGGCACAATAAAGGGCTCGGGGTTCACCAGGGGGGGGGATGGGCGGAGCCCCGAGGACTCTGAGGGCAGTGGACCCTGTGTCACCTGTCGCTGCAGCGCTGAGTACCTGTCCTTATTAATTTGCCAAACCCACAGGTGGGGAGCACCCACGGTGAACCCCAACATTAACGGTGGCTTGGGTGACAATGACATGTCAGTGTAGGCTCATCGGGGGCCGCCAGCGCACCACCGCAGGGACGGTGACGATATGGGAAGCCAGGTGCGTGCGGGGCGGGGTGTGTGGGGACAACCTTCTGCTCCGTTCTCTTGTGACCGAAAACTGCTCCAAAAATACTGTCCCTAAACAAACTTGAAGACATCTCCGGCAAGTGTCCCCTGAGCACTGAGCCGTGCCAAGAGGTCCCTGCACAAGTCACACCCCCCGGAGGCTGGCCCGCCCACCAGGACCCCTCACACCACTCAGGCAGAGCAGAGCCAACCTCACCCTCCACTCCTTCATGTGACACCGTCTCACTGAGTGTCTACCAACCCAGGGAGGGCGCCAAGTGCTGGGGACAGAGCAGGGAACAGACAGTCCCTGTCCTCATGGAGCTTTGCATTCCAGGGGGAGAGACAGACAATAAACAAGATAAATAATGCATCATCTGTTAGTGAGCAGAAGTATGAAGCAGAAACAAAGTAGGAAATGTCATGACATGTGGGGGCAGGGGCAGGGGCAGGGAGTGGAATAATACTGGTGTGGGCACAGGAAGCTTGGCTCAGGTGACCCTAGAGTAGAAGTGAGGGGCTGAGTCCTGCCCCGTGAATGGCAGAGGAGCGTGGAGACATTTCAGGGGAAGAGCAGTGTGTGCAAAGGCCCTGCGGCAGGGGTGGCTGGAGTATCCAGGGACAACAAGGAGGCTGAAGCAGCTTCAGGGGGGCAACCAGGGGAAGAGGGAAGGAGGTGGGATCAGACAAGGGGCAGGAAAGGCCACACAGGCCAGGAATTGGCTTTCACTTCAAAGGGAAAGGGGGAGAGGGGAAGGGTTTTGAGAAGGGAGACCTCACCTGACTCGTTGTTTCAGAAAGATCCGCTGCTGAGAGGGGGCAGATGGGAGCTGGGGAGGCAAGGACAGAAGTAGGGAGGCCATGTAAGACTGGCTCGCCTTCCCCGACACACTCTCCCTTCAGGACAGTCACAGGCCCCTGGGATTCTCCACCCCTTGGGCCACTGCAGCCAGGTCTCGGGTTTCTAGGAATTGACACCAGGAAGCAGCCCTTAGCCAATGACAGTTGGAGCTGAAGAGTAAGACCAAGTGCTCCAGCTTGCTCACCTCCAAAAATCCGACCCCAAAGTGTGCCCCCGACTGCCCGTAGCACCTGTGTGACAATGCTAATGGATCATCTAATGGGCTCTCTCTCTCTCTCTCTCTCTCTCTCTCTCTCTCTCT